TCTGCATGTGAGCATGACCGTTGTTCATCAGTGGAAGGTCTGACGGTCTCAACTGCTGAAACCAGCAGGATACCTTTTCACAGGACTAGTCAGGCTGGTTGCCACCTACTTGGTTACCAGCCTTAAAGGCCTTCAATCTTGATTGCATATTGATGCTCTTTAGAAAAGTGATTGGAAGCAGCAAAGGCAGAAATGATTTTGGTATTCAAATTTGGGAAGACCATTTGCATTTGAAAGATCATCTGCACAGGCTTAGGACAGGCTTAAGGCAAGCACAGTTTGTGTGGTTTATTTGTCAGGACTTGAACACCTGAAATTTTCTTCTGTTAGGATAGTCCTGGAATGACTTTTTGAGTGTGGCCCCTGTTTACTTGGTTTATAACAAACCAGAATTTTATGGAGATGTTACTGTAAGGCACATACAAAAGGCTATTACTGAAAGCTGCGTGGGTTCCCCAGCACTTTACTAGTTGCCTCTCAGAGTCGCAAATGAATTATTTTTCTACATCTGCTTAGAAGGGATCTTAATGGCTGTAATCTCAGTATCGCCACCGTGTAAATCAGGGAAAAAGAGTCGGAATATTTTGCAATAGGAAAAACTACTCAATAATTCCATGGTAGACTGAACTATATGAATTCTTTATCCAACTAGAAAAACTTGATTGTGCCTTATCCTGTGTCCACATGAAGACTACCAATTACAGTTTACTCTCTTTTTCTTGCTCAATGTTGCTGAGTGCTCCAAATTTGGCTCTTGTTATTCAGTCATCAAACTAAATATTCATTGTGGGTTCTCTTCTTTTTTTTCTTTTTTTTTTTCCATCTGTGGTTCTGCCAGTTACCTTCAGGCCTAATATTTGCATGTAAATTATTCAGTTATAGGAAGAATTAAAAAAATAACTGTTAGGATTTGTCTGCAGGGATCTCTCCAGCACAAAGGCCACTGAAGTTCCTGCACTGAGTGGCCAGTTCAGGAGGTGCAGGTGGGTTCCAGCATGGCACATCACAGATGGACACTCTGATCAGCTTTTTGGATGCCTTCAACCATGCTTGATTCTTGCCTGATAAGGACTGGAAACTGATTAAGACAATCCAAATTCTGCCCTTGGCCTTCGATGTGTTAAAAAGAGGATTAATGAGGAGATTAATATAAAGATATTATATTTTAATGTCCACATGACTCATAATGTACCACAATGCAGATTCTGGATTAGTAGGGTAGGAGATGGAACTTTGTAAAAATTTGATGCAATTTGCTTTTCATAAAGTTTTAGTACTTTTTCTTCTTTTTTTTCTTGACCTCAAACACACTGTGATGTAAAGATTACAGAATACTAAAGCAAATAACTCTTAAAGGGAACTCTTCTTCTGAAGTTTGCATTGTCTGTGTTCACATAGTGCATTTCTGCAAAAAAAGAGAAAGTTTAATGCCTCAGTTTTGATTTGGCTACTTCCATGACCCCCATCCCTACCCCAGAGTTGAGATTTTGCTGGCAGGAACTGGTCATTGAGATGGAATTGGTCATTGACATGGATCTGCATGCTTTCTTATTTCTCTGTGGTCTTGGCAGTTGCAGAGACATCCTGACAGCCCTCTTTTAGAGTCCCTTGAAAATTAATATTTTGAAAAATTATAGAATTGCCTTACATTCTTTGTAGTATTCAACTTGTGTGAGGATGTCTCTGTACATAGAAGTTATTTCAGATTAAGAAATATGTTTGAAAGGACAATAATTCTTTTAAAATAGCTTCACATCTGGACAGAATAAATCTACCTTTATTTTTCTGTTTTAGGTTAATCCACTTGTAAAGTAAACAGGCTTATTTTGTCCAAATACATTGGAATTCAGGCAGAACCTGCAGCCTGGGAGAAGCTTCTCTTGGAGGTTGATGTGATAAAGCAGCACGTAAGGACTGCAGGCTTTGAACACAAAGGAAAATTAACAGCTAGAGCTTGGTCAGGGGATTTCATTAACACAGGGCTGTAAGGTTCTCATGTCCCACAGTGAGATCACTGGCATTCTGCCTCTGTACTTGAGATCAGTATCTACCTCCATACCAGGAGCAAAAGCAGAGAACCAGCTTGGGTGATTTAAATGAGGTGCAAGAAGCGCCAGAGGGAACCTCCCCAGGCATTGCAATGCTGGTGAGTCTCCACTGCCTCCTGCCTGGGGGGCTCCAGCCTCCAACTGCACTGGGCTCAACCTCTAGCACAAAATAAACCAGTATCTACTTAAAAACCAGGCTGAGCCCAGGTCTGCTTTGAGTTTCATATTGGGTTTCGTCATGGAAGAGGTGTTTTCACACTTGAAAGGTGATGTTCTGCAAACTCCACATGACACTGGAGTTCTAGTGGGAGCAGGCACTAATAAACTGCCTTTCATTAGAGTTGCCACTATCTCACATGCACAGCCCTGGATTTGATCTTTACCACTTTTATTGATGTAAATATTATCTGTGTTTCATTTTCATGGATTCATTTTACATTAAGCTATCTGACTTGATGGTAACTGAACACATTTTAAAAATTAATAAAACCTAGGAATTAATTGAGGAATTTTTTTGGTTCTCCCCCACCCCCAAGATGTTTGCATTTCCCATTTTGACTGAAGTGAGTGGATGGACTGAGATGTGCCATGCAGTGTTGTGTCTGTTCAAAACCATGCTATGTGGGAGCTGTATCCTGTACCCATTGTAAATAAAACAGAAAATGTCTATTTATCTGTGTGTCTGCAGCTCTTATTACTCCCTTCCTGGGTGCTTTCTTGGGTTCTTGGAGCTAGCTGCTACAAGCAGGCCTGTTTTAAACAGAATGTGTCTCTGCAGCTGAGTGAGTCTGTCCATCTGTCATGCTCTTCATTGCAGGCTGGTAGTGTAGCTGATTTAAGTGGCCATTAGGACCAAAAAATTCTCGTTTTCTTTGCAGGCCTCATGGACAGGGTAGGACTGGGCATTTTCTTTCATTGTCCTCTGCTAAGCACCACTTCATCACAGTGATATCCTTTATCTGACTTCTGACTTCTCATTTTCCTTCATGTCATTGCCCCTTCCCCAGTCCTGATTTGTCTTTCTCCTTTTGTTCCATTGATTTTTTTCTAAGTGAATAATTTTACATTAAAATGTTACTTCTTATTCAATAGGTAGATATGGTGGTGCACTAATGGAAATGAGTGACAGCCCCTGTGTGCAGTGTATGACATCCAAATGTCAGGTCAGCAATATGGTGAGAAGACAGGAAGCAAGGGGAGGCATGGGCAGGCAGAAGAGGAGGAGAAGGTACTCAGGCTCAAAAGAATGCATTTTCTCTTGAGGAGATTTCTTTTGGACCTGTGGGCATTTTATTTAGAGTTTGTGATTAGAGATATTTTTGGTGGATATTGCAGGGCTGCTTATGACTAAACTGAAACCCCTTAGGAAAGCTCTTGGCGAAGTTTTGTTTAGCTTGAGTGGCATATGTCAGGACAATCTATGTGCATGGATATCACTGTAACTGGAGTTAACTTTCAAATACTTGCAAACAATCCCACTCTGCGTGGATGGAAAGAATCACATAGTTACCTGAAGAGAATGGATTTTCATGTTGAATTGTTATGTAAAGAACTATGTTTCAGAAAAGGTGAAACCTGGGTCTTTTTTGAAGTTGCTGTGAAGAAAGCAGCTTGTATCAGTGCTAGGCCTGCGTTTCATAACCATGTAAATATGAGTTTGTGTTGTACAACAAAGTGATCCCCTAAAAACCTAGAAATCAAAATAGAAAGTCCTTTGATAGATGAGAGTTGGCATCTTTTGAACATTTGTTATCTATAGCATTGCCTACAGACAATGCACCAGAGCAAAATGAAATATTCAATGCCATTTTCCCTGTGCAAATACACAGCTTCTACTCAAAAGCAAACAGAAATTCACCTTGGTCACCTGAGGACCATGTGATGCTTCACAGGAAGCATTTGCCACCTCGTAAAAAAAATTGTAGTTGATATTTGACATAATTAATGCCTTCCCCAAGCAGTTACATTTTCCTGCCTTTGCTCTTCTTTGGCTGCAAGACTCCCTCCATGGTAGAGGGATGTGCTGGGCAACCTGCACTCAGCATGAGAGCTTGTACATGGGATGGCAGCCACCCTGCTGGGAGACCATTCCAGCCACTCTCTGGCTCATTTGGCAAGTCTGAGGGCTGCCTGGGGATGCAGGAGACACAGGCTGTACCTAAGCCATCCCTATAGCAGAGAGAGTTTGGGAGCATACCCTGCCTACTGGGTGGTCTGTTGCCCTGGGTTAAGGAGCGCTTGTTGGGGTTGAGGCAATGTGGGGCTGACAGTGGGTATCGAGGATGCTGACTTCTGTGGGAGAGGCTGGTGGGGGTGGGAAAAGCAGATGGAGGTTTTCTTGCAAAAAAATTGCCTACTCCTTTCTTTGGGGCTCAGGACCCAGTGATTTCCAGGAGAGAGAGTGCTCAGCTATGCAGGGAAATTAGGTCAGCTGCCTCCTGCCCTTTAGATGCGTCACCTTTGACTGAGATGTTTTCTGTTTCCTTCATGTTACTGGCAGAGGCCAGTCTTCTGTCATTGAAGAAGTTTTCAGGATATATACTGCTGATTGAATTTTTTTCCCTGTATGCATAGAGTAAACTGTCCTTGAGCTGACTTGTAACTGCTGTCACCTTGCTCTTTAACGAAGTTATGATGGAAATTTTAAAGCACAGATGACTGCAGGATGACAAAATGCATGCAAATAGAAATAAGAAAATTTCTGAAGTGGGTGTTTGCCTTTTGTGTTGTCAACCTCAGTCTGTCATGAACTGTTAATACTGGAAAATTATAGTGCAGTAAATAATGGCAGATACTCCATAGTTTTTATTTCTATGCAGTTTGCTTCTGAGATTGTTTACTGGACTGGCTTGAGTGGTCTGTTTAATATATGCTCTTTAAAATACATCTTAACTTCTTAATTGTGTTACTATTGCAAACTAAACTTGCATTGTTTCTTTTTTCCTCATATAGTTTTCCCTACACAAAATGGAAAGGTTGCTATAGTGACTGGAGGAACTGAAGGAATTGGTTACCAAACTGTGAAGCATTTGGCAAGACTTGGCATGCATGTGATAATAGGTAAAGTCATTATTTTCTTAATAAACTTTTTGTTTCAGAAAGTGTTTATTTTTTTTTCTTTTAAGGAATATTCTCTTTCCAGCATAAGTAAAGATATGTCAGGGGAAGGCAGGAGAGTGTTTTGCTAGCATTTAGCACAAATAAAATTGATTTATGTTTTGCTTTGCAAGATCTTAGAAAAAAACGGATGGGATTTTTTTTCTGCAGAACTTGGAAGAATTGTACTACCTTATATAAGAAGTAAATAATAAAAAACCTTAAAAATATGGATATCACACAAATATTTTATTTTCTTGTTACTGAGGATGGATTATGCTTCAGCGTTAGGGTGCATGTTCGTTAAGAGAACTAATGAAAGCCTTGAAGGAATACTACAGTGTTTAATGGGGGATGATCTGTGTTTAAGGACAGAGTTATAAGGGCCCTTATAACTTCATCTATGTAAAAATTGCACGTTTACTTCTCAGTTTGTCACTGTAGGCGTCCTTTGTAGGCAAGACAAGGAAATAAATACCTTAAGAGGTTCAGTCATGTCAGTCTAAGATAGAGTGGACAACTCACCTTCTGGAGGTGCCTGTGTTAGACTGAGACATCTGAAATTAGGATACGTGAATTTCTATAGGAACTCAAAAAATGTCCTGTGTGCACAATATCTTCTTTCTACTGTGGACAGTATTAGTGAGACATTTTTCCTATTTTTCAAAGCTTTCTTTACTACATATACATATTTATGCACTAATATATCTACTAAATCAGTATGTAACATGAGTACTTACATGTTTAAAACACTACATTTTGTTCACTTTATCTTTCTTTAACTAGATTTTTACCTAAACCACTGTAACTTTCACATCGTAAAGTCACTGAAGATTGCTATTTCATTATACACTAGCAAGCTGGTGATACCATTTTGTTCAGCTTTTATACAGAATGTGCTCTCTCTAAGAGCACATTCTTTAAGAAATACACATCTTTAGGAAAAAAACAACCCCCACCAAACAATGAATGAGAGCATAGTAGCCATGTACTTTTATTCTAGTGCAGTCAGTAACACTAATGGAGTTGTCCTGGAATTGTACTAGTGTAATGCAGAATACCACTTACTCATACATGTTTTAATAGATGTGTCAAAACCAAGAATCTGCAAAATGCAAGTGGATACTGCTGTATGTAGCTAGATGCTTGATGTTGCTAATGTAGCTAGATGTAGCTTATGATGTCAGCATTAATATTTCAGTAAAATTGCTTTTCATGTTTAAGGTGGACTGCAAAAAATGTTCTCAGTGGGAAAACAAAAAGGCTAATTTTCTTCTCTTTGTGTAGGGTCACGGAAGCATAGAACATTGCTTCTTTTTTAAGATTTATTTTATAGCCTTTAAGGTTTAGGATATTGTGGGTAACAAAATTCAGTGTGAGAGTTTTGGGAATGGGAGTGTGATGTTTAGGTACAGAATCTCTAAATAAGCTGAAATTTTTCAACTCACAATCACTCCCTCATAGATCTCATTCACTCACACTTACTCCCATACTCTCACAAGCATCAAGATGTGGTGTGAGCTCATGTGGTCTGATGAGCATCACCTGAGTATGGGAAAATGTATGGCAGCTACTAAGTCCTTATCCTGTCTCTTTGGTTCAGATGGTCAGATGTGCCCAGAGAGGTTGTGGAGTCTGTCCCTGGAGATATTAAAAACTTATCTGAATGCGACCCTGTGCAACTTGTTCTAGGTGAAACTGCTTCAGGAGGGAGATTGGACAGAGCTCTCTTCCAAACACAACCATTCTGTGATTCTGCGATCTTTTATATTGTTCACCAGCTCTTAGTATGTTTTTCTTTGTCTGAAATATATAGACTATGTCTATAGCCTATTTTTTTGTGGGGGCTAACAGGAAAAATAATGGTATGGGTGATATGCTGCAACCTGGATGTTATCCTCCTGGTGGCAGAGTGCATGGCCATCTACATCAAGACTGGCAAGTCTTCTGTGCTGTGGCCTTGACATAAACAACACAGGAACAGTCCTTTATTTTTCATCAAAGGGCATTCTTTTAACACTTTGCTTTGCTCTTTCTTCTGGTACTTAAAAACACATACACTTCCATTCACTCTTCAGTTGTATCAACCTTACTATTTGCATTACGAATTAATTATAGGAAGCATTTAATGAGTAAGATTTCCAACTGATTCTTTTCTTCCAGGCAAACTCTGACCTAAACACTGAGCCCTGTGAGTCACAGCTATCTTCTTTGCCTGTGAAATTCTCAGAGCAAAGCAACCCAGTCAGTAGAATGGATAGTCCCAGGATTTTTTCCAGCTGCAAGATCAAAACAGTTTCAAAAGCACATTAAATGCAACAAGGACCTTCCATCCTTGTTCCTAACTGTTGGGCCCAAGTGTTCAGAGTATGCTTACAACACCTGCTGGCACTTTGGCATGCTTTAGCACATTCAGCTTCAGGCCACGCAAAGCTCAAATAAGACAGCAAGTATGCTCAAGCTTTCTCCTCTAGAAATGTTTTCACCCTATGTTTGTATAGAGACATGAACTTATGCTAGAAAGATGTGAATGTTAGGTGAATTTGGGCTTTCGGGGAAGACTCACATGTAGCTTACAGTCAATCTTGCTCATTCACTGAATGCTTCTTTCCCATTACAGGAACTTTAGCAATAAAAATGATACCCCTGCAGCAGGCAAATGAGTCAAACCTGAATGTCTGATGTGAAAAAATGATTCACTCTTTGTGATGGATGTGATTTTGACTCAGTTTGACATTTTAGAGGAGTAAATATTTGAAGCAACCTCCTTTTAAATCCAATCTACCAATGGAATGAGGAAAACAAATAAGTAGAAAGCATGTTACTTTGTGGAACATGAATAGGCACTGTATGAAAAGGCAGTGTGTTAACTCAGAGCCTTTTCAGCAAGCAGTTGCATACTGCTTTTACACCTTATTCCTTTCCTGTTCCAGTGCTGGTGCACAAGACTCCTTTCTCCCACCAATGGGTTCCCTCTGTGGGTGCTGCTTACCCTGCCCTCAGCCTCCCTCTGGGAAAGAGGCTGAGCTGAATGCTGAAATGTTGAAAGTAATTTTCTGCACATTTTTTTGATAAATTTCATTGAGATTTTTTGACAGGCTACAATATGATTACTCACAGTCAGCCTGGCTTTTACTTCAGGAAAATCTCATGGCAGACAGCGAACCCCTAGTAGGGAAAGCTGATGCCAGTGGTGAGTCTTCAGAGTCGAGCCACACAGGGAGCTTCTGCTCCCTCCTATGCAATTTACTACTTGATAAGTTGCAATTTCATTTTCAGAGAGAGAAGGTAAATGCCACACCGTTTTTGGTGCCTGTTGAGTGGTGACTGATATTGAAGGTGTTGTTTTGTGTGCACTTACAAATAAATATGCTCTTAACAATAAGGACATTGGAAATCAAGATATCCCAGACATTTCTATGACCTCCCCCACCCTCATTATTAAAACCCAGTAGGTTCAGCTGTGGTTCACAGTGTCTGCCACAGTTTTGTGAGTCTGTATTTAGACTGATTAAACTCTTCCTATTCCTTCCATCCTTTATCACAGGTTATTAATTTTATGAGGATTCTGTGAGTGCATGTTAAAATCATTGACTCAAAAAAGAGAGCTTCAGTTTGAATTTTCTTTTTTTTCTTTCCCCTCAGTACATTAATAAAAGAAGGCTGTAAAATATGAGAATATTTAATATAGAAGCTTTGATGATCCTTCCTGATAATGGTAGAGGAAAATCAAAAGACGTGCAGCTTGACAATGTTACACATATGCTGCTTGGTATAAAACACCAGGTTCAGGACAGTGTAATCAACATTTAGTGTCCAAGTATATCATCGTTGCAGTTTTCTAAGACAGGCTTACACTTTGAAGGAAGCAATCTCATTATATTTATGTATATGTATATGTATTCTGGTGACTTATTTGAGCCCTACAATTATGGCATAAATAAATGTAGGTCCATTACCAGACTCAGCACTTCTATGCGATGTTTGTAAGACCTGCAGGAGGCCAAGCAAGAGATAGTTCTGCCACCTCCTTCATTCACATTAGTTTCCAATTTTCAAGCTGTATTCTCTGCACTATAAATCAGACAATTCTTATATTGTATAATACTACAAAGTGACTTTACAGGGATAATTAAATCCTATCAAGATGGTGCAGTTGTTCATTTTCAAAGACAGTTTGATTTAATTTCAATTACTGAAAATTTCTATGGGTTACTTTAATAGTCTTTCCTTACTATACATAGATCTATGAGATGCTTGAGTTATCATTTTTTCTAGAACAGTATTTATCTTCCTAATTTTAACCAGGTTTTGTTAGGCCTGGATGAGTTGTAGAGTTAGTCAGGAAGTATCAAAATGTTACCAGCATATTAAAAGTGGGTGATGATTTCTTTTTTCTGGTATGAGCACTAAGAAAATGTATGCAGATTGCTTTATAATTGTCATTCAGTCCAGGTTTTAGCATATCAGTACGCTGTAATCAGGGTTATGAAAAACTGTACTTACAATACTGTCTGTTATTTATGCACTATACATGTGCACACAGCCACACGCAGTCTTTCAAATACATAAGAATTTTGTCAAACACTTTAGTTCCTAATTTCTCTTTGAAGACCATCATGTCCTTGCTTTAAAAAGAATTTTTCCTTTAAATAACTGGCAGTGGTTTAAGGCTGATTATTTATGAACTAATTCATTGCAGCATTCCTTGGGACATTTGAAACTATTATTAAAATAGTGACAAACATCTGAAAAGACAGAACATAAGAAATCTCTTTTGGGAAGTAATCTGAAGTAGAACTCAATCAACTGTAGAGGTGTATTATATAGTAAAATACTTTGATTTACTGAGCTCAACCATCAGGAAAATGAGAGAGATTTGACTTGATATGGTTTGTTTGGATTTCTAGAAACCTTAAAGCAAAATTCTCAAGGCTTTTCGGGATACTACACAGCCCAAAAGA